TTCCCCCCGTTTGCACTATAAATCTGGATAACAACAGTCATGCTATAACCTGAGTTTTAGGCCGCCTTGAAATTTCTTCTGCCAGGTTTATTAGTCCATCATCTTTATACTATGTCTCCTGCAAAGTCTTCAGAAATGAGCAAAATGTAGACAATTTTTTTCTTGCAAGAGTGTAACATACATAGCTTATTGTCTAAATGCCAATAGAGTTCTTGTTCCCGCTTAAAAGCTCTTGAGCCTGGCCTGTACTGTACACATTTCTATCAGCATTCTTACTTTCTGAGCTCCAGCAAGTTACTCATCACTAAAACACAATACCCAACACTCACCTCTTAATAGAGGAAAGGTTCGATTTTGCTTATAGTTTCAGGAATCCAGTTTATGGTTGACTGAATCCAAGGAAGAAACACCATGGCAGAAGGTTGTGGTAGAAGAAACAGGAAGCAGAGGGAGAATAGTATCAGAGAAGATCGGCCAAACGACCATGTAAAGTACTTAAAACCAAGCTGCCATGACCTATCTGGACCCATAATTATGCTTTACTGATCTGCTAGGCATTTTTTGATCTACTGAAGTTAACATATCAGGCTTGACAGTCACAATGTCACATTTTCACCAAAAGAAAGGGAAAAGAAAAGAGCAGGTCTCTTCCCTCAAGAAACACTCCTCAAAATTGCTGAGTCCACTTCTAATTATACACCATTGTCAAAATCTTAATCATATGGCCAGACTCAACTTGCAGAAAACCTGTGAAATATAGGCTTCATTCTGAGTGGTCACCTGTAAGTTAAATTTCAGGGCTCACATTACAGGAAAAGAAGAGAAATGATATTGAGAGACTACTCACCCTCTCCGTCATCTAGGAATAAGTTAGGGAGATACAAACCCAGTCTACTATAAAATATATTGAATTGCCAGAAAAATGTAAAAGAAGACCTGAGCAAATGGAAAAGCATACCATGTCCTTGGGAAAGCAAACAGAGGTGCTGTCTTGATAATCAAAATAAGGTGCAATGGCCGTGACTTCCAAAGCTGTAAGTAGTACAACACAAATGTGCAAAAATTTATAAAGAGCAGAAATGCAAGTACAGTAACAAACATCAACCAGTGACCTAACAAGACAGTGCACATATCTGGTGATTTCCACCCGCTGTGGACTCCTCAAAGGGGAGATCATTGTTATACATCTCCCTTTTGGCTTTATCAGGTGGTGTCACTGCCTTATGGTGTCTCCTATTTATTTCTTTCCCTTCTTTGTTCTCCTTATATGGATCCTCATTTGCTTCCAGAAAAACCCAGTGGTCATAAGGGAAATACTTCAAAAAAGGCTCAGAAAAAGAAAAAAAAAAAGGACTGGAAGGGCAAAGACATGTTGATATATCAAGACAAGAATGAGGTCAAGAGTGAAATCATTTTCTTTCCAGTGAATTCAGTCTATAGGAAGCAGTTGGAAAACCTTCCAAAGAGAAAGCTCCCTTTGATCTGACTCATTCTTCTCTTCTCCTTCTTTTCATCTTCTTACAACATGGTGGACACTGAGGAAGCCACAAAGAGATAGAGAGGTAGTGCTCTAACTGGGCATGGTGGTACTCCCCTGCAATCCCAGCACTCTGGGAGGCTGAGGCAGAAGGATCACTCGTCCCATTCTGGACAATTTAGCAGTTTAGGGAGATCTTGCCTGAAAATTGAAAAAATGATCAAAAGGTCTAAGGATTTAGCTTACTGTGAAAGCTCTGGGTTTAATCTCCAGCACCTCAAAAAAAAAAAAAGAAAAAAAGAGGTAATGTTTGCTTGACCATCATAGTGATAAAAATTATATGAGGAACAAAATCGGGAGGAATTAGGACATTAGGGAACTACTGCCAATTATGTGGTTGACTTATGTAAATTAAAAATAAATAAATACATATTGGGATATGGCAAGAATTCAGACTGGAATATCAAGGGACAGAACACTGGGATAGCTGCACCCTATGCCAAATAAATGAGCACCTTCCCTTCCAACTTGCTCAAATACCTTCCTTTTTACCACTATTATTTATGTCTTACAAGAGAACAGTGGCTTTACATGGAAATCTTCAGAGATATATATTGAAATCACCATACATTTGGTAAAGAGTGGAGGAAAATTTCAAGTTAAACATCACAGAGAAGGTGTGCATTTTTCTTACTAGAATATATCTTTAGCCTTGTGTCTGGCAGACCCTTAATTCCAGTGATCACAAAACATGTGGCGATTTGAACACATATAAGATGTAGTTACGATATTTAGAAGTTTTATCACCAGTGTGCTCTCAGACTATAACAATTTCTCTGTGATGTGGTTTCTCCCAGATCAAAGTCTCCAGATGTCTGGATAAAACTGTATGTAACCATCTACCCAGAGAGTTCTTCTTGTCTGTGACATAAATTTGCCTTTCAGACATGTCACGATCACTCAACTGTGACTCACAGCCACTTTGTGTGGACACCTTCGTCAAATTGACTGTTATTTACAGGGCTTTGGAATGAGGCAGTTCCTCCTGGCCTTTATTTTACTGTTATCTATCACACAATGAGAAGACAGTAAGTACATAAATTCATTTTGTTTCAAGTGTTACACAGGACCAAAGTGCTCAAGGAGTCCATAAGGCAGTCTCCTAAATGAGTATTTCCAAAGATATACCCCGGTTCTCACTGCTAGACAGTGCTCTATAAGACATTCTTGCTAGCGATGCCTGTGTCTATGGTAATGACTTCAATGGACTTGGGTTGAGAACTGCTTGACAGCCGGGTTGTCTCACCGTCCTTTGTGCCTATAGAGCTCTTGAGTAACCAGTACATAGCAATTTCTGGTTTGCTTCTCAACTTTGCAAATCAAAAATATTTTCTCTGAAAGTAGAAAAAAGTTCATTGTTCCAGTGACTGTATGCACGATCTAGAAGTGGACCTAAGAGGGAAAAAATCTAAGATCTTAATAAACTGTTTTATTCAATAAAGTTCCTGGCAAAATGAGCCCTGAGAATCCATCATTACTGGCTCCTGTCACCCTGTCATGCATGGCTGTGGTCTGCACACCCTGATCAGCCATCAGTGAGCACAGGCTTCTTCAGCCACTGACAGCTAGCATCTGCAAATATGCTGTACTTCCCTGAATTATTTTTTGGCATTAATGAAAGTTTTGCAGTTGTGTTTATTACCAAATGGATTTATAATGTCAACCCACATTTATTTTGTACCAAAGCAATGTTATAGCATATTTTACCTCCATGAGGATTATCATCAGTTCAACCAATACAAATTTTTAAAAATGAATAAAAGAAAACTGATTGGACAAGCTTAACAAGAATCCCCAATACGACAACTAGAAATGTAAATACCACTTGCTTTGCCTTCCCTTTGTTTCCCTGTCCTCCCCTTGCTCCCAATGACTTCTGTGAACTGTACTGAACAGAATCACATGGTAATACCTGACTTGATCCTTGGGAGCTTGTCATGAATTATGATTGTACAGATTCTCTTTCAAAAATTTATCTGTGAGCTTAGCTAAAGTAGACATGCCAAAATTTTTAAAATATGATGGTCTTTAGAAAGAGGCATAAGCAAATAAGGACAAACTTAACCATCTAAGGAAATCACAATATTAGCAAATTCCCCATTTCCTTCACTTTCTCTAGCAACATGGTGGTTGCTATAATCATGTCTGCTACCATTCATCAAAATGCAGAATGAAAATCTATGTTAAGTTGAAATAGGAAGGCTAAGAGGTAAAACTTATTTGAGAGATAATCTTGTTTAATTTGTAAGAATGGGATGAAAATTGTGAAATAAACTATCATGTCTCTGACATCTTTCCCAGCTTAAGAATCTTCTTCTCATATCTCTTATCCTTCTCATCTCCCAGGTCTAATTTTCCTCCCTCTACAATGTTATTATATTTTCCTGTTACTAAACTAATTCATGCTCTTTGATGACATCTAATCTGGGAAAGTGCTTTGTACTTCTTTATATTACCGCTTACAAATAGATCAACAAATGTAGATGACTTTCTCCCCAGAATATAAGTTCCTCCTGCCAGGAATGAAAGCTTTGAGCTGCCAGTTCCTTAAGCATCAAACAACCGATATTGACAGCTCAATTTATGCTTTTTGCTAATGTTAGAAAATAAAAATATCCTCAAGTTCATTGCCCAGGATTATTTACTTTTGTATGTTGCTATATTCATTTCTACCCTGTTCTTCTATTATCTCTGGCTAATTTTGATAGACTGGAAAATAATTCTAAAATGAATTTTGATAGAGAAAATTCTAACATTCAAAAAGCCCTCAGAAGTGAAACAAATAAATCTTAAGTTGTAGAAAAGAAAGCACTATAAAATAGAGCTATTCAAAAACCCAGAGAACTTCCTTTCACTGCTACAATTATGACACCTACTTTTCCATTTCTTTATTTTTAAATGTTTACTTTATTAGTACATGTTTGCTGTACATTATGATTACATTCATCAAGGGAAGCTGGAGTACATAACACATCTTAGCTCTTTTTATGTCCCCTTCCCCTCATCCATATCTTGATCTCCTTCCTATTTGCAAAATATACACTTCTCTATAAAGTTAACCTCTACAGTTAAAATAAGGACAAAGGTTTTCACAATGAGAGAAGAGACACAATACATAGTAAGATAAAGAGCCACATAATATTAAGGGAGCATTTGAAATATCAGTGATAGTTCATGTATGTGTGTTTTCTACCTTTATTCACAGAATGGATGTAGAAACAATGATAGCTCCGTAACAGTGAGCAAATTTTATGCCTAGATCTTGTATGCTAAAGACTATTCTCTACTGGAAAAAAAATAAATGAAATTAGAGAAACGCTTATTTCATGTGTAAATCTGGAAAAATACAGCCAATCTAGAAGCTCTGACTCCATCAGTTTTACTGCTTCACAACAAATTACTTCCAAACATAGGCGCTGGAAACAATTAGCCTTTGCTAGCCAGGAGCTCTGTGGATCTTACATGTGAGAGTGGCTTAGCTGGGTCCTCTGGCTCAGAGCCTCTAACAAGGCTGCAATGAGATATTACCTGGGTTGTAGTCCTCACAGGGTCATCTTGGGAGGGACCCACTGGTAATCCAGCTCATGTGGCTGCTGACTATATTCATCCCTTGGTGGGTACTGGATTGAAAGCTCAAGTTCCTTCCTGCTTGGAGCCCTTCCTAGGTATTGAGATCTGTGGGATTCCTCAAGGAAGCTTGCAATGGCAGGTGGCTCCTGTTAGCAAAGAAGCAAGAGGGTAAGTTTGTTCCCTTTTTCTCCTCCCTCCATGCCCACTCTCTCTGCCACTAAAAGCATAAGGCACCCATAATTTTGGACATCCTAGCCTTCAAAACTGAATGCCAAAATAAACTTTTATTCTTCTTAAGTTACCCAATCTCAGGTATTCTGTTACAGTCAGAGAAGTCAGACTAAGACATCAGATATGCTAAAGAGAATCTGGAAAGTGTTTAAGTGAAAAGTTTTAAACTTAATAATGACAAAAAATCGTATGCTGATGTTGCTAAGATCTGGGGTAAGAATGAATAGTTTATCCATCAAACTGTAAAAACAGAAAAAGAATTCATGAAAGTTATGCAGTCATATCTCAAGCTGCAGAAGCTATGGCAGCAGTGTTTAATCATTTCCCCACTCATCTCCCCACACAGGCCTCATATCACTGCATAGGTGAGTACAGTACAATGAGGTGCAATGAGAGAGAGGAGAAGGGAGAGACTTCACATAACATTTATCTTATTGTTATTCTATTTTTTGTTGTTAATTTCTTATTGTGTCTAAACTTTCAGCTATATCATAGGCATGTATGTATAATAAAAACATAGTATACATAGGATTCAGTGCTTCCTGCAGTTTCAGGCATTTCCTGAGGATCTTAGAAAATGCCCTGCAGATAATGGGGGACTTCTGTACTAGAACACAGGAATCTCCAGGAGCCTTCTAGAGGCCTTCTGTCATATGGTCAAAAGTCGAAGGAACCAACTTGCAGAAATTCTGACTTAATCCACTATTTAGGACAATTTGATCATCCATAAGAATTACTGGTAATGTATTATGATGCAATGTGTTATTTAAATCCGTGAATCTATAATATTCTTAAAATAGGTGGAAAGTGTAGAGGAACTGCAGTTTTATTTATAAAAGAGTGATAGCAGATAAATGTACACAAATGATAGAAAAACACCATTTAAACCCCCCAAACATAATAAATGATTGATTCTAGTAAGGATTATTAAAAGAAGATAAAATCACTGGGTGAAATGTAGTGTGTAACAGGATGGTTACATAGTACCAAAATATCATCAACAGATTAAATATTAATTTGAAAATACAAAAGTTTTTTGCTATTCTGGGCATCAGTCCCTTAGCTAATCATTTATAGTGGGACAAACTTATAATTTCCAACTTCTGATATTATAATGTGGAAAGTCTACATCATCCATAAAATCTTGCCATGATGATTAATCTTGTCTGGTTCATAGAACAATCTTACAATTCACTGGGAACATAGAGGGTAGAGAAACAAGATAGAGCTACGAGAGAGCAATCAGACAAATCTAGAATGTATGAAATTCTAAGAGAAAAATGTCTTGGATTCTTCAAAAGTCTTTGTTAGAGGGCAAAAGAGAAGGATAAAGGACTGTTCCAGATAAGACAAAAGAGAGATTAAAAATAAATGGAATGTGTGAGCCACAGTTTGGGCTCTATGTAAAGAACAAAAAAGAAATCAGTGAGGTCTCTAGGTCATACAATCCAAAGACATCGCAGACATACAACACCAGGATCCAAAAAGTACGTGCATTCAGTGGAAGTCTTAAAGCAGAGAAATAGTTGTATGCATGCATCCCCAGAAGATGTGAAATATAATCCAACCTTAATAATCTCAAAATTTAGATTGGACCTAGATGACCTTATATTCCTGGCCACCGTTCCAGTCCAGAGAGACCCCTCTCTATTTATGAGACCCTGCATATTGATAGTGTGTAGCCTGGACAGAATGATGTATGCAATTATGCACACTGAAGCTCCCAGGGTGAGAAACTGATTTCCCTAGAAATATGGAACTGCAAAGTCTGTTGGTGCATATCTGCCTTTCAGTACAAGGAGGTAACAGACTTGCTGACAAGTTCTCTGCTAAACTATTGACAAGAGCTACCAAGGCCACCAGGGAACTCTCATCAGGGGACAACCAGAGCAGTTTTAAAATTAACTAGACATAAAATAAATTGTTGAATTGCTGCTGTAAATTTCTCTAAGTGTGACAATTGTTTTGAGGCTATGTATTAGAAAGTCCTTCACTTTTTGGAAGGTTCATGCTGAAGTATGCAGAAGTACAGTGTTATCATGTCCGAAATTTATTCTTAGTAGTTGTTTTAGCTGGCCACATGGACAGTGAGACACACAGAGAGACAGAGAAACGGAAAAATATGGCAAAGTGTTAACAATTGTAGAATCTAGGTAAAATGTATGTGAATGTTCATTGTGCTCTTATTTAAACTTTTTGTAGTTTTAAATTTTTCAAAATAAAAAGATAGGGAAAATGAGGACTGTCTCAAATCTTAAGTAGACATAAATTAGCAAACAATATGAAAACATGCTTTCTAGATAGTCTTAGGTTTTCTTTTCTAATTAAAAAAAAAAAAAACCTGTACCCTACATAGTATCTAGACTGCTAGCTGCAAATAATTGACCATTGGTAGCCAGATTAAATTATTCAGGACAAGTTTGTTCCTAGAATACTGAAATGAAGTCCAGGAAAATAATATGCTCTGGGGAAAAAATGTTTAGGTTATTTGACTCTGCTCTTGTGTCTAATTTGATCTCCTACATATAGATGGTATGTTGGCTATTTTATTGCCTCAACTCTAACAGTGACTCTGCAAAATGTGAAACTGAACCTGTTGTCATTTAAAACAACTTCATTGATCCATAAGATGCCCCTTACTTTTCTACTTATCGGGAAGACCATATTTGTCAAACATTTTGTTGAGGATAATCTTATACTACTCCAAAAAATAAGGAATTAAAAGAAAAGCATAACAGTTGCTGTAGCATTTGATTTGTTAATATTTCACCAAGAATTACGATTAGGACAGAATTTATTGTTCTAATTCTTCACCATAACCACGTTCTATTACCAATAAAATGACTGTTTTGATGGAATCTGTGGAAAACAAAAATCACATCTCCTTCCATTCTTTCTCTGCCAATCATGGGTCATTCCCACCTACCATCAGAGTATAAAAGAGTATTTGTTGTTGGAACTGCTAGAGGAGGTTTATTAGAATCAAACTTAATTAATGTGAGGCCCAACAAGTTAGTATTAGATACCTGAGCAAGATGTCTTCATTTATTACTTCACTGAGAACTTTAATGAAACTAAAAGTCTGAGCCTGGGGGAAAGGACATTTTAAACAGTTAATCAGCATGTACTTGGGAGAGGAGCAGAGCAAGCCTCTCTGTGGAAGTCAGCGTGTGGGAATATAGATTTTTTTTAGACTATTTTAACACATCACTCTAAATTTCACATAAAAGATAAATTATACCTCGCTATATAAAATTAAGTCATACAGAATTAAAATGAGAACATTCTTCTTAAAAATAAGAGAAAAAAGTTTGTATTGTAACCTGTTCTGACTATACTTTTGACACTAACTGTACAAATTTGAGTTCAGTATTTTCATCTTGTTATTGTGAAGAATAAATTAATAAATGTATATAAAGTGATAGGTACAAAACCAATCCTCAAGAAATGCTAGTTTCACCCAAACTACTTCATTTAAATGACTCACCAGCAGTACATCTTTCTTACAAAGATAATTTCTTAATCATTTTGATGAGTAATTTGCAAATCATATTTGTAGTTAAACTGAAGTATAATTACAAACATTCTGAGTACAGCTATTTTTAATCAACAAATACAAAAGGTTTAGATTGAGATCATTTTTAGGGCATAAAATTCTAATTCTGTTCAATGTTAATTTTTTTCTAAGAAAGATTCCATGTTTTTCAAATAGACTGTGCATTAATACACAGTTCACATATATCTGGTACTGCCTATAACTGATTAAAATTCTAGAATTTTGTATCATTCCCTTTCCCTAAAGAGACAGCTGATTATAAAGGTGAAATGCAAACAGGAGCAAGACTGGGACACTCTGTGAAGCGCCTTGTGGGAAGACAAAGCCATGCTACCGCAGTGACCAAACCAGGCTCCTCCTCACCACCAAGTCAAAGTGAAAGGTCTCAGGCACTGGTGCTTCTGTTTGCATCACATTATCACATTGGCCTGACAACTTCCCTAAATCCTACAGCCAATAAATAGTTCTCAACCTAAATTTGATCCCATTCCTCAGAAGGAGATTCCCAGAGTAAACTCCAGCTGCTGCAGTGGAACACCATTCTTTATTTCATCACTTCTCAGTTTTTTGATCACTGTGTTTGTGGTGTTGAGGGAGGAGATTGATCTTGATTGGCTTTGGGATCTGCCCCAGAGACTGGGGAGCACACTTCTGGGTGTGTCTGTGAGGTCACTGAGGCATGATTGCGGGCACTAGATCTGGTCTCTCACCCCTTCCTGTCTGGCTCCGCTTCCCTGGTCTGCTTCCAGGGCAACAAGAACTAGGCAGCTTTGTTCCACCAGGCCCTTCCACCATGTCTATGCCTTGGAGCAGCCAACTGATGATGCACTTAAACCATGAACAAATTGAAACCAGACACTTATTAGTCAGACTCCTCACTGCTGAGACACAATGCCCAACACCCACAACTTAGGAGGACAGTTTCGATTTGCTCCTGGCTTCAGTACACAGCAGCACTGCACAGAGCAACCACTGTTATAAATTGATGTGTTAGCAGTAGCCTAGATCCTTCTTTCCACTACTCATCTCTCTGCTTCCCAAAGGATCACCAATCTCTTAACTGTAGGACTCAAAATTGTTTTCAGATCATAGAACTAAAAATAAATTCAATTGGAGGCGGGCAAGCAATGCAAAACAGAAAGAATGAAATTTATAATATGCCTTTTAATGCTGCTTGTCTACTCTTCCTGGGGAATACAGGAGCTCTAATATCTGCAGCATGTGCTCACAAATAAAGAGGATAAGTAGGTTTTCAGTTGCAACCGCCTCGCAGCAATCACCCTTAGAGGTACATGTGAAGGAAAGGAAGAAAGGACAGACTGTGTGTCTCTTTAAAGATGTAGTCACTATTGTATGAGT